GCTAGTATTCTGTTAATAGCCGCCGCGTTGTTGTCACTACCCCATATCTTCCCATGGGTGGCGTAAGTGGCTGCAGGGCGATATGAAACAGGAGATGGAAACAGCAACTCCCTGATAACAACCCAAAATAATAAAGAAACTGCGGTTGCCAACCCGCCTGCCAAGCGTAGCCTAAGTTTTATACTATAGGAGGCTAATTTCCAGCTGTGAAAACTTTTCATTTTTTATTCACTAACATGATATTCACTAGGTGGTCTTTTTTTCTGCCTAGGAATCCGTCTGGGTAAATACCACTCTTTTATCCAATTATGCCGCCAAAAAAAAAATAGCTGTGTTCCTCTCTAATGGGTATTATAGACAGCCAGTATAATGGCTGTGAGGTATTACATCATGGTCCTCAAAGGTCAATGACAACGCATCTGTGGCTGTTGCTGTTTGATTTTGGCTGCAAGTGACCATGCATCATGTGGAATGTACGTTCTTTTGCCACTTCAGTTTTATAAAAAAAAAACATACCATATTTAAAGTTAAAACAAATGATAATATCGGATAAATTATTATCATGTTTCAATCAGTAATAAATATTTCAATAACATAATATTTGATCTTAGTGATGGATGACGATGAAAATACATTTTCTTGTTTTACCTTCAAATAAAAATAATTTGACACATGGTAACTGCAGCGTTACAACTCAAAGCAGGGAGTAGGATAGAAAATTGATACATAAGCTGCACTAAAAGTATCGGGAATGGAATATTTCCACTGTTCCTGTCATATTAAAATGTTTTTAATTGAAAACCCCTTGGTTTTAAAAATCGAATACCATTTATTTATTAACTGTGGTCACTTTCTAGAATCAAGTATGTTAATAAATATTTAAATTCTTCTATTATTACTATCGAATTTTCAACAATTGAAGACCTGCTATAATGATATGGAATTTTGATGGAATGATGATTGAAATTATGAGTCGGTTGAATATAACTATACCAATTACAATAATTATAAAATTGGCAGCTTGTCTAACCACTATGATTTTACAAAGAGCAAATCAGATAGCTGCCACGAAACTGTACGCTAATAAAGCAATTATCAATTAAATAAGTGCCCGTGAAGAATTACCTTCTTAAGGTCTACTTACCACGCCGGCGTTATTTTAAGGTTGCGTGCAAGCCTTAAATCACATTTATTGCTGTGACAGCATCTCATAGATGTGACATACAAATTTAAAGTACCATACTCTATTATATTATTTCCATTAACACAAGTTTTTACACAACTCCACTAGGAGGAAGATAATAAACGCCTTAACAAATTTAGAACTTCGAGATGTCACAATATATTGCTTACATCTCAGAAATGTTATGGGCTACAGTTTTAGACAATGATACCGAAATTAAGCTGGCATAAAACATTTGGCGCTGAATGAAACCACATTGTATTTTTTTTATTAACCTTATTTTCATGATCGTTTGACAAACATCTGATGTTCATAAAAATATTATGCCTACACACGTCCTTACATGGCCTATATACTTGAGGAGTGGAATAAGTTGCCAGCATCTGTCTTTCCATCCGATTACAGTGTGGGTGTCTTCAAGACAAGAGTGAATAGGCTTTTGTTAAGTCAGTGCGCTTCACCATCTTAGGCTACATCACCACTTACCATCAGGTGGGATTGTAGTTAAACGCTGGCTTAGTAGAATATAAAAAAGTGGTCCTCCTTCTGAATGAAACTGTAAGGAAGATTAGTTAGTTTAATTAGTAAAAATTAAAGTTACAGCATGTAAACGTTCGAAATACAGGGTTATTTTTCAAAAAAGTAGCCAAATTTTAAACGTAAATTCAAATATAATGATTCTTATATTTTCCCGAACACCACACATTTAAATAAAACTAGTTTTACGGATTTTATCGCGTATATTAACATATTTTATATTCCCCGCATTTTGAATTTAAAAGATAAAAAGAACAGAATGTTTGAGATTTTATTAAATTAATTTTTCTTATTACTTATTCTGATCCTTTTCTGCAAGTTTGGCTCGGACATGCCGGTTTTCTTACGATGTTTTCCTTCAACACTTAAAATCGCAATTAACAATATCTTTGGTGCCGGTGGCTATCGAACCCGGGTTACTCGCGTACTGAGAAATTTACAGCGAGCGCTTAGCCCTCGAGCTACTACGGCACGGTTTAATTAGTAAGAAAAGAGATTATGAAGCATCCGTTGTTCGATCATTTAAAACGTGGTAAGGCCACATTGCAGCTTTATTATAACTTTAGTATAGTTGTACCACGAATGGGTCAGCTCGACTGGGGAAGGACCACGCTCTCACCGCGTATCAAAATAAAATAGCAGGTTAATGCTGCTGTGTTTGTGGGTAAGTATTGAGAACCGGAGACCAATTTTATACGTGGTAGAGCCATGCTGCAGCTATATTAGTAGTATAGTTGTAGCACGAAGGGGTCGGCTCGACCGGGAAAGGACCACGCTCTCACAGAATACCAGCATAAAATAGCAGCTTGACACTGCTGTGTTTTGAATGGTGAGTGTAGAGAACCCGAGACCCATTTTACTGGAAAAGAGGCATTCCATCTTAGTCCTCATGGCGACGCATCTGAATTTTGATTCTTTGTTGAGGATAAATGTAGATGTCTATGGGCCGCAGCAACCACTTACCATCAGTTGGACTGTGTGCTCGTTTGTCACCCTATCCAATAAAAAAAAATTTTACTGGTAACGGTGCATCGTCCTCAGAAGCGACAACAATAATACTATTCGATCTACCCCAGAATTCACTTGCTATCAACTAGACTGTGAGCTCGGACGGACGGCGGACAGCAGCGTCTAAGTACGAGACGTCTCACACCTTAGACTCTAAGGTGTGAGACGTCTCGTACTTAGATCGTCAATCCGCCTGCAGAAGGGGCTCATGACCAGCACTGAACATTTAGGGGCTGATGAGGAATAACAAGTAACGTGTAGTGGCGGTGTAATAATATCCACTACCCGATATCGGCCCGTGGGTGTCGTAAGAGGCGACAGATGGCAACAAATCAGATGGTCAGCAACGTCTTCCTACACTATGAAATACACTGACTAAAAATAAAAAAACTGCAGTTGCCAACCCTCTTTTCAAGTATTGCAACTATGACCAATATTTTCCCTGTGAGGCAATCTATGTGGGAGGCCTATGTTCAGTTGTGGACTTTAATAGGCTGAAACAGTAACAGAAACGGAAGAATGAGAAATAATTTCATTCATTCATTCATTCATTTTCATTCATTCAATAAGAAATAATATTTAAACTCCTGTATTTCTTTGCCGCAGTGAATAAAAATAATTTAAATTTAAAATCCACTTAATGTAATGTACTTAAATTTTATTAAACATTATTGTTTCAGACTCTGCTTAATTTTTAATGAATGTGATGTGAATAATTTTAGTTTATTAGTTGAACCTTAATCGTTAAAACACATTCCATTGTTGTCGGTTAGTAATACCCTAAAAGTTCCTTAGAGACAAACATTATAAAATAATTTCAGCATGAAACTTGTAAAAAACATAAATTGCCTTTTAAATGTCTCAAATAGTCTTCAGCATGTTTTGAAGTCTTATCTACAACATAATAATCTATGTTTAATTCGGGAGTGAGGTGCAGTTAAAATAATTAGTTGTTACACCGCGACCTAGCTGTATGCGACATATCGATTCAAGGTTTAATTCAAGATTTAATTTTTTTTAAACAAGTAATTCAAACTAAACTCAATCCTATTATAATAAATAATAAACGAGTGCGTGCATTAATAGCGTCTGTACACGCCTTCTTATTCGCCGGTGTGTTTTCGAATTTAAATCCATTCCATAATGAAATTCCAATGTTTGTACGATGATGTATGGTACCATAGTAAATTTTTAAATTTTAATCGAAATTTATTACACTACTAATAGATGAAAGAGATGCAGATATCAAAACAACAATTTATGAAAAAATTGTTTACATATAAGTATAACTCGTGGATGAAGGGTTCCGTACAATTGTAAAACACGTTTATAGTAAGGGAGCCCCTTTTAATTTTATATTTAATTTTGTTTTTATATTTTATATTTGTTGTTATAGTGGCAACAGACATACACATTCTGTGAAAATTTCAACTGTCTACCTATTACGGATCATGAGATACAGCCCGCTGACAGACAGACGGATGGACAGCGGAGGCTTAGTAATAGGGTCCCGTTGGTTACCCTTTGGGTACGGAAGCCTAAAAATAACGAAATTCAAATCATGTAGGAAATTCAAATCCTACTTTACGCGTGGCAATCATATCCATGTGACGACGAATGATGAAAGCTGGCTGCTGGGTAAAAGGTTAACTTCAAATTAGTAGTATTTATTGATAGCGCAATTTAATACTGTCAATGAAAATAAATTTATTAGAAAAATATAATATGTCATACAGTATAGCACACAGTGATAGTAAGTGGTTGCTGTAACCCATAGACATCTACATATATCCTCATTTGCGAATCAAAATGCAGATGTGTTGTCAGTCTTGCGAAATAAGATGGAATGCCTCTTTTCCAGCAAAAAGGGTCCCCGGTTCTCTACACTCACCATACGAAACACAGCAGTATTAAGCTGCTATTTTAAACTGGTATTTTATGAGAGCGTAGTCCTTCCCCGGTCAAGCCAACCCATTCGTGCTACAACTATACTTTATATATAGTTGCAGATTGGCTCTACCACGTACAAAAATTCGTCTTGAGTCTAAATACATTGGATCTCAGGGAGATATCAGTACTCAAAAATTCCTAGCTGAAATCTTATAAATTTTGGTGATGAATGTATTCGTATTATCACCAATGCGAGGGTTTCGATTTTGCGTTTACTAGCTCGCCTCAAGAAACTTCAACATATTAAGAAAATCCTTTGGTTAAATGATTGGTGTGATAATGTTAGTAAAAAAATTACCTCCATAGAAATATAAAAAATTACCTCCGTGAATTGGGTGAACGCTAAACAGCAGGCAAGGTTCATCGCCCGGTTCGCGGCAGCACTCCAACACATCTCGGCCGGTGGTCTGAGGCGTCACCGGCACATGGGTTGGCGACCAACCTGTGCCGCTTTCGCACCACACGCGCACTATTATCTGTAAAAAAAAAACAATGAAAAATCAATAACACTTATCAGTTGCAAATGCAAATATTTTATGTTTTTGTCGAAGATAATTTGGTATATTTTTGCGCTCATAACATAAAAATATTAACGATATCTATGCCTTTTCCTTTCTTATTTACTTAACTTTATTATTTATAATTTTCTTTTTCCACTTTTTTCAATTAAAAGTTGTTTATAGAATCATCACCCATAAATTATCCAGTTTGAGAATTTAATACTTTGTGCCTTCGAGTATGTTATACCTAAGATCATGAATATTTAAATTCTTTGCGAAGTTTTCAACTATATGGCCTTAGTAGATCAAGAAGCTAAAGGCCACAAGTTTTAATCGAGAATATTTTGAAGGTGATATAGAAACATGCTTTAAATCGAAAACTTGTAGCAAGTTCAGTGAAATATTAGATCAAAATACCTATGTTTTTGAAAGAAGTTAACATTGTGTGTGATGTTGAACATCTGTTCAATTATAGAGCTTTCAGTGCGATGTAAAACATTATTTATGCTATTTTAGGAGTTAAACAAGAAAGAAGTCAAGATTTCATTAAATTATCTTACAGAAATCTTTTTATAGTTTAGATACGTTTCCTTAAAACTTTCAATATGTCTAACCACGAATTAAACGTTGGATATTTGTTTAAGTAACATTTAGGTTAGGTGTCTTGAACAAAAGTAAAGCACTCATACCTATAATGTAACCTTATTTAGACAGCTCAGTAGTACAGTGACTTAACAGTTGGCTGTAACGCTGAAAAGCCGCGGGTTCAAATCTCGCGCGAAACAAATAAATTGTATGGTTTACAAAAAATAATTGTTCTGGGTCTGTATGTTCATCTGTATGCAATTTGAGCATGTTAAACACCTTCACGATACAAGAGAATATTGTTCTCGAGTAATGTTTTTAAACGAAAAAAAGAAAATAGTTTTTAATAAATAGGATATATTTACCAAACGCCTACTAAAATGGTTTTGTTTAATCGTTTGGACAGCCAAGTTATTTAAGTTATTGTTCATGAGCGTGGAAAACTTTTATAAACTTTATAATACATGTCCGTCGCACGAAGTTTCAAAAGTAACTTCACGTCCGATCTAGAATGAAGGTTTATTATCGAAAGTTTTCCTAGGAATTAGATTTGCAATTCTACTTCCTTCTTGCACTTTTCTCCCATCTTGTTATTTTTGTGTGAGCTATGAGGATTTTCAATTTATATTTGAAAATTATTTGTCGTTTTAACGTGTCTAAGTTTAGTTTAAACACACGTAAAACAGTAAATAAGTACCATGTGGATGCGACGTAACCCATCACCCTACTTCGTCCTGTGGTTGTCGTAAAAGGAGACTGTGAGATATGCTGGAATGATCTGTAGATATTATGTACGCCAAGCGTTAAATGCCTAGATCTTCGCGGCGGCGGGAAATAGTACCAATGATTTCTCATCACGTCTGGTATTTATGCGATTATATTGCGATTCAATATTCATTCAACATGCGATGGTACTCCAGTTCCAGTGAGAAAGTGCATTGACTTTTACAACTGAATGAATGAAAAGATTTATCATCATTACAGTCCACAAGCCCACTGTTTATTATGCACATACATCTTCCTTTTTTGTTACGTGGTAGAGCCACGCTGCAGCTATATTATGGTTGTAGCACGAATGGGTCGGCTCGACCTGGGACCACGCTCTCACAGAATACCAGCGTGAAATAGCAGCTGAATGATGTTTTGCTGTGCTTCGTATGGTAAGTGTAGAGAACCGGAGACCCGTTTTACTGGAAACGAGGCATACCATCTTAGTCCTCAGGGATGACAACGCATCTGCATTTTGATTTTTAATTGAGCCACAGCATTCACTTACCTCGTGTGTAACTGTGTGCTCATTTGCCACCCTTATTATACAAAAAAAATCAAGGAACATCACAAAACACGGTCCTGAGCTACTTGCATCCACCGACTACTGCATCTCTGTTATAAGAGATGCAGGAAGTCGATGGATGTAATGCGAACCCACTTGATGACGTGACAACTAGAGTCATATTACATTTGCTTACTGGTTCGAGGCTGCCAGTGCCGCAGTTAGTAATAATGAATTATTGCACAAATACTGACTTGAAGAAACAAAATAATCTAGAATGATTTCTTATATTTACGCGAATACTATACATGGAATAAAACTAATTTTACGGATTTTATCGTGTTTAATTTTAACTATTTTCATTTCTGAAGGTTCGGGCAATTATTTTTATAGTAGAGTGGGCAAACGAGCATGCAGTTCACCTGATGGTAAGTGACATCCTTAGTGGTGGCATGAACATGAGCAATCCAGCCTTCATGGACCGCAACACCAGAGGAATTGCAGATGCGTTGCCGGCCTTTTAAAAAGGTGTAAGACCTTGAAGGTCCCTAAGTCCGGTCCGGTGGTAAACAATTCCACAGAGAAGTTGTACGAAGAAAACTCCTAGTAAAACGCACAGTCGTGGACCGCCAAACATCCAAATGGTGAGGATGGTATCGTGAATTTTGGAATTAATCCGAACAATTCCTCAGAGCACTCCCCGTGGTAAATTCGATAGAAAATGCAAAGGGATGCAACATCCCCACGCAGTGCCAGTGTATCGAGCAGATCAGAAAGAACTCGGTCGTCGATGATTCAAACCGCTCTGCGCTGGATGCGGTCAAGTGGAAGGAGCTGGCACTGTGGTGCCCCGGGCCAGAGATGAGCACAGTATTCCATGTGAAGCCGAACTTGCGCTTTATAAAGTTGCAAGCGATGTGCCGGCATGAAATACTGTTTCGTTTGCTGAGCACTACAAGTTTTTTAGAGGCCAATTTGGCCTTTCCTTCTAAGTGACCACAAAACTGCACACTATTCGATATGTCGACACCAAGGATTCCGATGCTAGCTGAGGCAGCAAGGGGAGTGCCTTGAAACTGAGGAGATACGACAAAGGGGTTCTTTTTAACGGTAAACGCGCAAACTTGTGTCTTCTGGGGATTCAACTGGACTAGATTTAGTCGCCCCCAATCCGAGTCTTTGTTCAGCAAAGATTCGACTTCAGACACAAGTTTCCCGCACCCATCATGGTCACGGGGGGACTGAGGTGTTTGACGTCCCGATGTCATAGTTAACGAACGCTACCTCCAACTTTTAATAATTAATTTTTCGTGCGATCTACGCAGAATGAGCTTACAGTATCTTAAAGTCTTGCAGTGGTATGCTTGGGTTTGGATTTAATTTTATTAATTATGGGATTCCAGGCACCAATAAAATCGTTCATTGCAATTTTAAGCGATGATTTAATACGTGCTCGTTGGTGAAAAAAACATTGCGATTTTCTCGTGTCTGAAAAATAAACAAATGAAAGAATATTACGAAGACATGAAAAGTTCGTTTTTTTTTATAAGATAAGGGTGACAAACGAGCTCACAGTCCACCTGATGGTAAGTGGTTGCTGCGTCCCATAGACATCTACATCTATCATCTATTACAAATCAAAATGTAGATGCGTTGTCACCCGTGAGGACTAAGATGGAATGCCTCATTTCCAGTAAAAAGGGCCTCCGGCCACCTGCACTCACTAAGCGAAACGCAGAGGTAAACCTCTACTTCTAGCTGGTTTTCTGTGAGGTCGTGGTACCACCCCGGTTCGAGCCGGCCCATCCGTGCGACAGCAAAAGCTGCCGCGTGGCTCTACCACTGTTGAAAAACCCTCACAGAAATAAGAGGAGACTTGTGCTGTGGCACTGAAGTACGCATACAGGGTTATTTTGCAATTACAGGCCAAATTTGCAGAGAAGTTTCAGAATAAGTAATATAGCCAAACGGTGAAGAAAATTCAATTTAAAAATATCTCAAACATTCTGCACTTTTTATATATTATTATTTTAACTGATTGCCATTCATAAATATATATTTTACAACGACGGAAATAACGTAAATCGATCCCACACAGGGTAGCGCGCGTACGCGTAGTTGTTGCCCATCAATCACATTCAATTTGAGATAATTTCAAATAAAAGTAGGAGCCTTAATTACTCGCATTTTCAAAAACTGCAATAATGGTATGTCATTATTATATATTTGAACTTAAGTTTAAGATTTGGTTACTCTTTGAAAAGTAAACCTGTATAGGCTGCAACTTTTAACTTTAAATAAAATAATCGGTATTGATTAATTTGTGTGAAAAAAGGTTTTATGCGGCTGCGTGCGTTTGTTCCATCTACCCATTCAGTACAGCCTATCGAAAGTACACAGATGCACATAGAGATCCTCCATATTTTACATAGGTCACCCCTATAGATTTGAGAATTTATTATTTTATATGATAATAGTTTATGTGAAAATTTATGGTTCAGTAGTGTATATTTTAAAACGTAAACAGAAAAGGGAACCTATTGAAAAACGGACATGTTTTTCCGGCGAAGACCTAATAATATTATGTAATCATCTTACCAATTTCGCTTTTGCAAAATAGACTTGGTGAAGTAAGTAGTATATTAATGATCAGCAACAGAAAAAAAATTGTCGTTTGTATACGACTAGCGACCTGCTCCGGCTTCGCCTGGGTGGGATCTATTAATGTGGCATCATTTAGATTTTTTTAACTAATTGTCAATGACGAATTTATTTTATCCATTTTATGATTTCACAAAAACAATACTCCAAGTTTTTCGGATAATATTGAGCCATAGAGAGCAGTACCAGAAATGATCTATATTTCATAGATCTGATATTCCAAAGATTAGCCTGACCAGACAGATAGACAGACAAAGAATTTACGAATGGTTATTCATGACTTATTTGCATTTAAATAAACCCCTGACCTCGATAAGGGACAGTTATTTTGATATTACACTCACTTTTATTTTTATGTATAGATGAAAAATATAAATAGCTGAAAATATATATTTTAATAGGCCGACAACGCACCTGCGTTTTCCCTAGGTTGCAGTTGTTCATGGGCGGCGGTAGT